TGTTAAGGAACCTTATTTGTGATATGCCGACGCAGGGACTTTATGGCATAAACATTTTCATATTTTATTATACCTTTTGTGTAAATTATATTGTTATTGGACTTAAATATATTTCCGAAATCTACGGTCACGTAGGCAAATTCGCAGAAGCACAAATGAGGGTTTATCCCATGGTTAATATATTGTGCATTGGTATTACTGTCAATAACCTCGTTATTGGGAGGGATAATTTGTCGATTTCGGAATCTAGTGTACAAAATTTTAAGTTTGATAGGACAGTTCTTTTGTAGACTTGCTGAGAGTAACTAGACTTTAGTTATTTTCATAATACATTAATAAAAATCAATATTTATAATAAATTAGAATAAGTCGTAGTTGTAAGTTGTACAATAAATTCGTTATATTTACAACTCGGCGTTTCTATGGTCCTTCGAGTTATATATGTGGTACAATTGTACAAAAAGTTCGAATCAATCATTTGAATATTTCGAACGTAAAAAACACTTGATATTGCTGTTTGTTGAAATAATTAATTTGGTATGTGGGATATTTAAAAAAACATACGATAGCGTTCTCCATTACTAACCCATATAAATCACTAAGGATTTTGAAAATATTTTAGTAAACCCACATGCCTGTATTTCCTTAAACGTGTATTTCGTTTCCACTTACCCCTATGTCAACATAAGTAACGTATATTGGATAGGGTAGAACTAGACATAAGGCTGTTAGCCATGTTCCCACGGCACATACAAATGCGGGCATCCTGGATTTTCCAGGATTTCGGACGTAACGAAGTCTGTCCCAAGCCATTAGCACAAACGTTAGAGTGCTCGAATGAAGGGGTATGTCCTTAGAAAGAAAAGAAAGAAAAATATAATATAATAATAAATAATTGCTGTTGGAAGATGAAATGGAATCAGTTTATAGTTGATGAAAGTTAAGATTCATAGAGTAGAAGTAAAATAAAACACTGTGTTTTTGTAATTGTGTAAAATTAATAAATATGGATGTCATTTCGAATTTGGTTATAAAATTAAATATGGAAATGAGAGTTTTCACTGGGTGTCATACTAAATGAATATTTCAATTAATTTTGTGAAATCCTTTTTGAATATTCTGAATCTTTAAAATGTCTGTGTTACTAACTCCTAGAATTACAGTTACTGTAAATTAAATCTGGATGAAACCTAATTTTCCATCTTTTCAAAGATGCCGAATAACTGAAGCGAGTAATCTCATACAGACTATTCAAGCAGTTACACCTGGCATTCTAATATAAATTCTACCGTAAATGAGATGAAATTACATTTATTTTTAACAACAACACCAAGAAAACATGAAAAACCTCAAAAAATAAAAACCTGTAGAAGCCAAACAAAATCTATAACCCCACTCATGTCTTTGGTTCATTCTAGTATTTCATTTTGTTCTCGTCGTATCGAGAAACCTTTGAAAAATTCGTTAAAGTCTGAGGAATGTAATTGTAAGCATGATTGAAAACAACAGTCAGCATTTTTGATAAGAAAGGCCAAAGAGAAAGATATTTACAGAAAAAAAAGGTAATACGAACAAAAGAGAACGAAAGTTTCCAATCGTTTGTACAAAATTCTTCCTTCGCATTTATTTTTGATGAGACAATAAATCTACATTCCCAAACGGCTTAAAGTTTTCGTTAACAGTGGCGGCTCCCCGATAAAACCAAGTAAACAATGCACCCCTTGAATTTTTAAACAAAACAAACAAAAGTGATAAATTTAAAAATCAATTTACGATTAGATATCATTAGGTATTCATGGTTAAAAGGCCAATGCCCCAGCAACATTTAGAAAATAAACGAATATCAACCTATTAATTTTAAAATTATGTATCCCTCCCTTTGCGAACCACCCCGAACCGCTACTGTCATTTTCCTTTTATAATTTTTCCTTTTTTCATTTTTCTTATGAGGTAGGAAGCAATTTGCTAAGTAGATTGCTTTTGTTTGAGACATTTAAAGCACCGGTGAGTAATTAGACATGGATCGGTTTCATACAAAGGGTCCGGAGATTGTCAAGTTTGTAATGGGACAATTTTTCGTCGCATTTTTAAAAAAACTTCGACAATGTTGTCGACGGCCGTTAAATAAAAAGATCGCCTTCGCATTGTACTCTGTCCGTATGAAGAATCGTTAATGTTTCCTTTAAAAAGACGTTAAGCTACATTATTAATGGCCTATTTTACAAACAGGATGACGTGCAAAACTAATAACTGACATGTTAAATAGGAGGGTTAAAAAGTTTAGGTTATAGACTTATGGCGATATTCATGTTTTAGCTTAAGTATTCAAACTAAATCGTACAACAATTTCCAATTTCTATAGCTGAATAAAAAATCGAAATTAATTGAATACTTGAATGCATAGAAAAGATGTGCAATTATTTTCTGGAAATTGAGAATTAATTGTATATTTTTAAACCTTTAAAACGCCATAGAGACGTGAATTTTAAAAAATACTTACCTGCAAGTTATATCCTTTTGTATTACTATATATTAAAGTTAATTTTCACCTGTTGAATTTCTAACCGTGATACATAAATAAATAGCATGCGTAAAATATTTACACCTCGTTTGTACTTATAATATTGCATAAATAGATATTTTTTGCTGTAATTGTATATTTTAAAAAGTTATATTAACTTTGACTATAAAATTTTACAGGAATATAAAATATATGCACACTAAAATGAGACAATCGTTCTTAGTATCTGGTGCAAAGTAATTTTGCAGTTTCTGCCATTGGAAATCGATGGTAAGCTAACGCTTGAATGACGTATTTGTTTTCGAGAAATCACTTCAACTTTTCGATTCCTAATATTGGTACGTTTCAAAGCACTTAGATATTTTTCTTTCTTGTAATTCGCCGTAAAGTACAAGTTTTGCTAGTTGCTATCAAGCAACTTCTTAGAGATTTTAATTTCCTACCAAATCTATTAAGTAGTTTCTGTTTTACTTGTTTATAACAATGTGAAAAATTAAGATGAATCAGTGGATGTTTGTTTAATTGAGTTGCTGAATTTGACAAGAAAAATGATATCAAGTTGATCAAAGCAATTGATAAAAATTATTTCAATGTAAACATCATCAAGTACATACATCAAAACAGATTTGTTTTACTTTTTTTTCTACTTACAAATTCCCAAAATTTAAACAAATTTAGAACAGTGAATGCATATGGGCGTTTCAGTTCGGAGAAAATAAAGCCGAAGCTTTCGTAGAATTTCAAAAACCAATTTCGATTCGATAAAATAACTTTATTCAAACTTTAGATTCAGTAGATTCAGTTATTACATCTTTAGCTGCCTATTATAAGCTTTTCGGCAACAGATTAAAGGCTTTTTTCTGTCAATAAAACGTATAGCGAATTTAGACATTGAAAAATCAACTTAGAGACCAATTTACGAAACGAAATTGACTGTAAAACTAACCCTTAGCTTTTGTAGCGCGTTTGTAACTAATAAATCACTTTCCCTTTCGAATAATAGCTAGAGAAAAACAACTGACAAATCCACGAATTGTCCTTCTCTGTTAGCTCTCAACAGGAGTTAAATCCTTAAATTTAATTAATGAAAAGCTTTAATGTGTTTTCTTGATAAAAAATCAGTACGTTGTAGTATTCCTAACACAATGATTAACGCAATACTTTGCTATCAATCTAATATAAGAATTTTGTTTAAAATACTGTGGCAATTAACTAAACTAAATGTCAAAAATATTCCAAAGCCTAATACCAAAGACTTGAAGATTCTCAAAGTGGATAGATATCGAAATGTTAGATATTTTGGAAAATGTTATTTAATAACTTACCTGGACCATAGGTAGAAACGAACAAAGAAGTTCCCCCAGGACCCAGTTCTGTATTAGCAACACGTAGAGGCTGATTGGTAGTACCACGATGCATTTTAGAATGTCGCTAATGGAACCATTCACCATGAAAGCATAAGTTGGTTCTTGGTACAATTTGTACCTAAAAATGTGCAGTAGTACCGCCAGGTTTATAAGTACCCCAACCACTATCAGTATCGCGTATATAAATAGAAAAAACACGTAAATGTTCGCCATAGAAGGTCTCATATGGGGTTGGCGAAGGTCTAAGTCTTTATCGTTCACTCCCAAAAGAAACTCGTGAAGTATTTCATACACATGAGGCGGCATCTCGTCCTCGATATAACGTGTTTTATTCACTTTTTCCATCTCCAGCATCGTTTAAGTTAGTAGCACTTTTCTTTTTACACACGAATAGGTTTTTGGGTTTTATTTATCGAACTAGACACTTTTTTTGAAAATGATAGAAAACATTCTCCTAGAAGTCAGTAAAAATGCTAGGATTCCATTACATCTACCTAACTACAATGGAATACTCCGAATCTAAAGCAATAAATTCCTACATTATTGAATTTCGATGAATACATTGAAAAACTCATTTACCTAGAAACTGTTTTATATCTAAAGTTCCGAAGAAACTCCAAAGGTAAATAACAGAACGTCAACAACATAAAAAGGATTGACAAGAATTATAGGTGCAAGCTAAGGTTTTGTATTTCTTCATAAAATCCTTATTTATCTATTTTTTAAATTTAACCCCAATGTACATACTAAGTATCTATAACACTAAGTAGATAACTTCGAAGTAAGAGAAGTAAATAAATAAAAACAACGAAATATTGAGTTAACATGAATAAAAGATGTAGAAGTCGCTTGAACGGCTTACCGGAATTAAGAAAACTCTCTGCGAATAAAGTTAAAAGAAATGTTTTTCAAACGTATCCATACGTAAAGTGAATAATATTTGGTATAAAAGTTTATTAACACTCTCGGCCCCCTTGGTCCCTGTCTCTGGAAAATTTTGTAATCAAAATTTAAATTCATTCATGGTGGTTATATCTGCCACCATTACAAATTCAGTAACAATTCGTAACTCCCTTGAAACCAGTATCAAATGAAATAATTTGACTCAAGAAACTTTTACAAGTGTGTCTACTATTTAAAGTAGTAAAATAATTTGCTAATTAAATTTAACAAAGTAACTTTGTTCTATTCTTACAGTAATTTTTTTATATTCTCCAATCGAAACGTCTGTGCTCGCCCCTGCTGTGTAGGGGTATTGTAGTCAACATAAATTGTTTGCAGCTTTACAGATCTGTACCTCGTTCTTTAGTAGCTCTATTGAGCTTTTTTTAATATAGTTAAGAAACACTCCAGTTTAATAAGCCATATAAAGACTGCTGATTGCCTTTTTTTTGCTGAAGAATCCGAAGAAGAAAAGAAAGCCTTTGTCTGTTGGAAAACCATTTTTCGTGACATGTAATGCGGTTCTGGAACCATGCATATACATTTTTGTGAATTTCATAATCGTCAAGTTCATTTCTTTTCTTCAAACGTGACAACGTCAGACATGAAAAGAAAATGTAAGGTATTTTGAACATTGTTTATTTGTTTTCTGTCATGCACATTTAACAAAATTATTCAAACGTAATAAGAATAGAAAATTGGATCAATATGAACATATATCATAACAACTTATTTTTCTTATTTCGAAACGTATTTCTGGGTGATCCCGTTTATTCTCTTTGAAAAACATCTGAATACCCTTCTTCTGAATGAGAATATTATTTTGTATCTTCCTGAATTTCGAAAATGAAAGCGGTTTCTATATTTATATTTTTTAAAGTTTATTGGTAATATTGACAGCAAAATTTTAGAATTTAGAATGGCAATTTTGGCATTTATCAATAGCACTTATCCGTTCTTTGATTATAAATTAAGACTAATAATTCAATACAGAAGAAGATAAATAAGGAAATTATTAAAGATTTTGTAACTTAGATATTTTGCTCATTGAATTACAGTCCAGTATTAACAATTGACAAACAAAAACATGAATTTACTGCGTTTACAGAAAATTGTACTTATTCTCTTTTCAATGGACAAAAGTATCTAGTGAAGTACTTCACATGATGCTTTTCTTTTGGAAAACTAAATAGTCAATGAGTCACCAGTAAATATCAATATTATGAGACCTGTTTGAAAAAAAAACACAAAAAGAAAAAGGAGATTTTGATCCCCTTGATGCTTCTTGATGTTAAAAACAACAACCAAACGAATATCCTTTCTAAAAGTATTAGAATAATGTAAATGTATTATGTACGTATAATGCCTTTATAAAATCTAATTTGGAATTTAATTAGGTAATCGAAATTAGCTCAAAGATAAACTGCAACCTAGCAATTTCCAATTGTAAACATTTCAAGCTAAAACGAGGTTACCAAAATAGCTTTTAATTATGTTCCTGTACTTTCACGTAATAACAATGATGTTAAACTTTGCATTATGAACAGTTATTTCTTGAAATCGCTTGTTTTTGTATGAGGGTTCTTCTTATGAAAAGTCTTTCGTTTCAAGTATAAAAGTGATTGGCACTACAGCTTCAAAAGCTAAATAAATGGTAATAGATACTTGAATGCTTTGTAGTTTTTATCAAACAAAGGTCGAAGATTCAGTTCTTTTTACTAACGCAATTCATTGAATTTTCACTGCCTTTGTTTTAGGTACATTGAATTTTTGCGTTTTTTAAATTCACCGTAACCGTTGCTTCTTTTTTCAGTTAAAAAGGCAACGAAATCGAAAAAAATTAAACGTCTCAAATGAACCAATTTATTTTTTAATGAATGGTTCAATTAATTATTTATTAATAAGTAAGATAGTTATTTAAATTACTTACTGTATGTCTATCATTACACAGTTTTAAAAACTTTCCTTGTTAATTTAATTTTTTTCCTTTTTACCTACATTTCATTTTTATTACCCTTGTGTTTTTCGGGAAGAGTAGTCGATAATTTTTCATTTGTTTAATTAAGATCTCGAATAACAAAAATAAACCGCACTTTTCCGTCTACTATTTTTGTTTTATATGTTCATTATCGAAAGGAAATATCGCGAATAACGGCAACACGTGGTAGATGGAAAGTAGAGGAAGGTAAACGTACTACTGACAGGATTGAGACACCCGCTCGTAGTTGTGCACCTGATTGCGCATTCCCGTGCCTCCCTCGGGATATAATTGGGACCATACAGTTTCAAACCGCCCAGGAGAAACTGTTATGAGTCTAGGAATTAGAATTCTGGTAAACCAAATCTAACCCCTTTACACCCATATATCACACAAATTTCTAAATTTATCATCAACCAAGAAGCAAGGATTCCTCCATTATCTTCATTTAAAAAGGACATTGATTTTGAGGTGATAATAGTTTTTAATATGATGCAATAAAATTTGAAATAATTATTGCTTAGTTTTGAGACTTAATTTCTAAAAAAAATGTGTAACATGTTCAGATATTTATTTAACAATTAAAACTTGTTTACTCACAACGTATATAGGAACTGGAATAACAAAACTAATACCGTAGGATAAATTAGGACAACGCTTTAGGTCCTTGAGAAATCAGAGTTCTAACAAACGCTCCCTAACAAGCCCTTTCGAAGGATTTTTTTGTGATGAAAAGCAGGGTATAGGTAAATCGTACCGGACCTTATCCTTCGACCGTTTATTTATGTCATCCAATTCAAAGCATCACTTACCTAGTAAGTAATAAAAAACCATTTTTCAAAAACGATTTTACTCCAACTTTTAAATGGACTTAAGTAGGACTCTCCATAACACTCAGTACTTCTATCAAGCTTTATAATGACTAATACTGGAGACAATTATGAATTGTTCTGGAATCGGGAGCGTCTAAATCCACAAGGGAAATTTTGTTTCCGCAGAAATTATAATCAATACATAGTTATTGCTGTTCATATAATGTAATGTTTACCAACTACAAATATACAAAGTATGTACAGGTCGACGCGAATAAAAATTGCTTAAAAAACTTTTAGGGAAAGAGCGAATATAAAGATGGGAGACGAAAAATTAGGAGTGGCTGATTTTAGGGATCTAGGAAGTCAGATAAGTCAGGACGGAAGGAGTAGTAGGGATATAAAGCAGAGGATAGTGCAGGGTTGAGTCGCCTTCAATAAAAAGAAGTCACTTCTATGCTCGCGAACAGTAAATTTAGAAGGGTTGTTAAAGGTGTATGTTGGAGCGCGGCGCTGTACGGGTGCGAAACATGGACGGTGGGCGCTGCGGAAAAGAAAAGGTTAGAAGCGTTCAAAATGTGATGTTACAGGTGAATGATGAGTATACCGTGAATAGAGAAGGTTAGAAATGAAGAGGTATTAGAAAGAGTAGGAGAACAGAGGACTCTATGGAAGTCAATAAGAAATAGACGAGATAGATTGGTAGGACACCTTTTCAGGCATTAATCAGAGACATATTAGAAGCACAAACAGGAGTTAAGAAGAGTCAAGCTAGTTTAGATTACTGTTTGTAAATAGGTAGTTAAGGATGTGGGATGTTTTAGTTTTAGGGAAATGCAAAGATTAGCTCAAGATAGGAAAGAGTGGAGGTGTATGTCCAACCAGTCTTAGGACTGACGACCTTATGATGATGAAAAAACTTTTGTGCTATATTTTATAGCGTTATGTTATGCTCGAAAAAAATTTCAAGCGCAAATTTCTATTCTTCGTGCCTTTTCCTTTAGTAACTCATTAACACTTGTACAACTACTTGCCCCTTTATCACGTCCTGACGTTAGCTAAAAAGAGTTTTTTTTAGGTCTAAAGGTTACAATTCTTTAATTAAATCAGGTTTGTCGCCCTCTAATTAGATTCTTTATGGTTCCAAATAACAAAAAAACTTTTCACGTTCATGAAAATGTTACCCGAATCTTAATTAACTTCTCGGTCTCGTTTAATACATATTACAATTCTAATTACGTGATAAATGCTTTTTTAATTAAATTTTGCTAAAGGCCTTCCGACGTACGCCATTCGACGAATATTTCTCTGTACAATCCATTTAGAGTCCATGTTGCTTTTATCGCGACAGCAGAGACCACCGAGCAGATGTGATGCGCCTTAAATTTCATGCACTAAATATTTGATTAAGCGGCAGTTTCTGTTTTAATGTAATTTAAGTCGATTTTGATTTGTTAATTTAAGAGATGTTACCCACTTGCAACGCTCTACTTGCCGCGCGACGTCGATACGAAGCGAAGAACTCAGTTTCGCTGTACATGCGAAGGAGATGGTTACGTCACAGCGCCTTGTCCAATTACCGAGCCGCACGCGTTGTGTGTATCCAATAACACATTGCCGCCCGATACAAACCGGATCGACGCGACTGATTCTTGCCGGTGTGCTCACACCCTAAGTTGTCTATATTATAAAGTTAATTCAAATCAACCCTTGACTTTGTTTGATTATATCACGCACGCAGTTCAGTTAGGTACTGTATTATAATTTGCGCCGTGCGACCTAATTTTGAATCTTGAAAAGATGTGGCATTAACTCTGGAAATTTAATATACAAAATAGCCAGAAGGAATACGTTATGAGACTTACGAGCTTCTTGAATAAAACAGGCTTCAAAGGTTTACCAAGAACCCAAGTTTATTTTGGGTCGTAAAAAGGGGATAGAATTGAATTGTACAATACTTATGTATGTATGCGGAGTACTTTATACGAAGTGTGACACTCCTAATAAATTCGACCAACCAAATGAGTAGGGATGAGGCGTGAGGTATTTGAAATCATTCGGTAGTCCTTGGTCAAAGTTTAGAAGAACATTTCAGCAACACGTAAACAAAATCATACCAAACTTCCTCATATTGAATAGCAGAAAATGAGTTATGAACAAATAATTACATGCGTGAATCCAGCCTTGTTTTCACCTTATATTAATTCGATCAATTACTTAAAAATTAAATAAATAAGATCATTATCTCGATGCAGACAATATACAGGTAACAATTACAATTCTATATATGTTAGGCCCGAAGACCGAAAACGCTCAGTGGCCGGATAAAACGGCCACATCGCGTTCTGGCTGCCTTCGAACGCACAGAACGCGATTTGGCTGTTTTTAAACGCTCGCAACGCGTTCTGGTAACTGTTAAACAGCCGGAACGCGTTCTGTCAATCGTTGAACGCTCACAACACGTTCTTAATGTTCGACTTGTATTATTTTCCGCTTTCTACCTGTGTACAATGAGATTTATATGCTCGACAATATAAGTGTTCAGTGTAACTTTCTTGCTAGAACTGAAAAACAATTATAAGAAATTTAATATTGTTTAAATGATTCGGCGAAAAAAACCGAACCCATCTTTGGTATCCAATTATAGTTGTCAATAATTGCATTGTTTCCTAAAAACTGAAAAATGGATTGAAATTCATCTGTTTTATAAGTTTTATAGAAAGCGGCAAATAATACAAGTCGAACATTAAGAACGCGTTGTGAGCGTTCAACAATTGACAAAACGCGTTCCGGCTGTTTAACAGTTACCAGAACGCGTTGCGAGCGTTTAAAAACAGCCAAAACGCGTTCTGTGCGTTCGAAGGCAGCCAGAACGCGATGTGGCCGTTTTTTCCGGCCACTGAGCGTTTTCGGTCTTCGGGCCTAACATATATA